GACAGTTCCGGTGCAGACCTCCACTCTCAGGACAGTTCCGGTGCAGACCTCCACTCTCAGGACACCTCCACTGTCAGTATAGGAAGTGACGATTCTGACGCGTTTTTTTTCCCGCCCACCGAAGGACTCATTTGATTGAAGTTTTCAAATCACAATCGAGACTCATCACGGAGGTGATGAGTCCGCCCCACCGTGTACTTTGGGTCGGCCTTGGTCAAGCCCTTTTGACCCCCCCAGCCTGGTTCTCGTAAAAGTGTTTCGCTCAAAAGACACCATGGAGGAATGTAACAGGAGTTGACAGGGGACTCTGCCCGCCTCACGAGTGCCTATTTTTTTTTGGCTATTTCACCCGGTTTCTACCGGGGACATTGCCCGGTCTCGGGTGTCCCCCCCCACGGCCTGTGTCCAGCCCCCATCCATCCATCCATCCATCCATCATCCATCTTCTCCCGCTTATCCGTGGTCGGGTCGCGGGGGTAGCAGTTCCAGCAGAGAGCCCCAAACTTTATTTTCCCTGGCGACATCAACCAGCTCTGACTGGGGGATCCCAAGGCGCTCCCAGGCCAGCGAAGAGATATAATCCCTCCACCTGGTCCTAGGTCTACCCCTTGGTCTCTTCCCAGCTGGACGTGCCTGGAACACCTCCCTAGGGAGGCGCCCAGGTGGCATCCTAACTAGGTGCCCGAACCACCTCAACTGGCTCCTTTCGACGCGAAGGAGGAGCGGCTCAACTCCGAGTCCCTCCCTGATGACCGAACTTCTCACCTTATCCCTAAGGGAGACACCAGCCACCCTGCGGAGAAAACCCATCTCGGCCGCTTGTATCCGCGATCTCCTTCTTTCGGTCATGACCCATCCTTCATGACCATAGGTGAGGGTAGGAACGAAAATGGCCCGGAAGACAGAGAGCTTTGCCTTCTGGCTCTGCTCCCTTTTCGTCACAACGGTGCGGTAAAGCGACTGCAGTACCGCTCCCGCTGCTCCGATTCTCCGGCCCATCTCACGCTCCATTGTTCCCTCACTCGAGAACAAGACCCCGAGATACTTGAACTCCTTCACTTGGGGTAAGGACTCATTCCCTACTTGGAGTGGACAGTCTATCGGTTTCCTGCTGAGAACCATGGCCTCAGATTTGGAGGTGCTGATCCTCATCCCAGCCGCTTCACACTCGGTTGCGAACCGATCCAGTGAGTGCTGAAGGTCACAGACCGATGAAGCCATTAGAACCACATCATCTGCAAAAGCAGTGGTGCAATCCTTAGTCCACCGAACTGCAGACCCCCTCCCCCATGACTACGCCTCGAAATCCGATCCATGTATATTACAAACAGGATTGGTGACAAAGCGCAGCCCTGGCGGAGGCCAACCCTCACCGGAAATGGGTCCGACTTACTGCCGAGGACCCGGACACAGCTCTCGCTTTGGGAGTACAGAGATTGGATGGCCCTGAGTAGAGACCCCCTCACCCCATACTCCCGCAGCACCTCCCACAGTAACTCCCTGGGAACTCGGTCATACGCCTTCTCCAAGTCTACAAAACACATGTAGACCGGATAAGCGTACTCCCAGGCCCCCTCCAGGATCCTTGCGAGAGTAAAAAGCTGATCCGTCGTTCCACGACCAGGACGGAATCCGCATTGTTCCTCCTCAATCTGAGGTTCGACAATCGGCCTGACCCTCCTTTCGAGTACCTTAGAGTAAACTTTCCCGGGGAGGCTGAGTAGTGTGATGCCTCTGTAATTGGCACACACCCTCTGATCCCCCTTTTTAAAAAGGGGAACCACCACCCCGGTCTGCCACTCCTTCGGTACTGTTTCCGACTTCCACGCAACGTTGATGAGACGTGTTAACCATGACAGTCCCTCAACACCCAGAGCCTTCAGCATTTCCGGGCGGATCTCATCCACCCCCGGGGCTTTGCCACTGTGGAGTTGTTTGACGACCTCAGTGACCTCCCCCCGGGAGATTGGTGTTGATCCCCCGTCATACTCCAGCTCTGCCTCTAACATAGAGGGCGGAGTTGTCGGGTTCAGGAGTTCCTCAAAGTGTTCCTTCCAACGCCCTAACACTCCATCAGTTGAGGTCAACAACGTCCCATCCTTACTGTACACAGCTTGGATGGTTCCCTGCTTCCCCCTCCTGAGGTGTCGGACAGTTTTCCAGAACAACTTTGGTGCCGCCCGAAAGTCCTTCTCCATGTCTTCTCCGAACTTCTCCCACACCCGCTGCTTTGCCTCGGCCACGGATGAGGCTGCTGCCCTTCGGGCCTGTCGGTACCTTGCAACTGCCTCGGGAGTCCCCCGGGATAACAAATCCCTGAAGGCCTCCTTCTTCAGTCGGACGGCTTCCCTGACCACCGGTGTCCACCAGGAGGTTCGAGGGTTACCGCCCCTTGAGGCACCTAGGACCTTGAGACCACAGCTCCCCGCCGCGGCTTCGGCAATAGAGGCTTTGAACACCGACCACTCTGGTTCAATGTCCCCAACCTCCACAGGAATGCCCGAAAAGCTCCGCCGGAGGTGTGAGTTGAAGGCCTCCTGAACTTGGGCCTCCTCCAGACGTTCCCAGTTCACCCGAACTACACGTTTGGGCTTACCAGGTCTATCCAGAGGCTTCCCCCGCCACTCGACCCAACTCACCACCAGATGGTGATCGGTTGACAACTCCGCCCCTCTCTTTACCCGAGTGTCCAAAACATACGGCCTCAGGTCCGATGATACGATAACGAAATCGATCATGGACCTTCTGCCTAGGGTGCTCTGGTACCACGTACACTTATGAGCATCCTTATGTTCGAACATGGTGTTTGTTATGGCCAATCCATGACTAGCACAGAAGTCCAGTAACAAACCACCACTCCGGTTCAGATCAGGGGGGCCGTTCCTCCCAATCACGCCCCTCCAAGTGTCTCCATCATTGCCCACATGTGCGTTGAAGTCTCCCAGCAAGATTAAAGAGTCCCCTTCAGGAGCCCCATACAGGACTCTTTCCAGGGTCTCCAAGAAGGCCGTATACTCTGAACTGCTGTTGGGTGCATAAGCACACACAACAGTCAGAGTTTTCCCCCCCATAACCCGCAGGCGTAGGGAGGCGACCCTCTCGTCCACTGGGGTAAACTCCAACAACGAAGCACCTAACCGGGGACTTGTGAGTATCCCCACACGGCGCCTCACACCTTGAGCAACTCCGGAGAAGAATAGAGTCCAACCCCTATCCAGAAGTAAGGTTCCAGAGCCGACGCTGTGCGTAGAGGTGAGCCCAACCAGATCCAACTGGTAACGCTCCACCTCCCGCACAAGCTCCGGCTCCTTCCCCCCCAGAGAGGTGACGTTCCACGTCCCCAAAGCCAGCTTCTGTCGCCCGGGTCTGGTCCGTCGAGACCCTCCGCTTTCACTGCCACCCTTCTGGCAGCGCACCCGACCCCATCGATGTTTCCCGTAGGTGGTGGGCCCACGGGACGGAGAAGCGGAGGTGTTGCCCACGTTGCCTTTTCGGGCTGGGCCCGGCCGGGCTCCGTGGCAAGCCCGGCCACCAGACGCTCGCCGACGAGTCCTCCTTCTGGGCCTGGCTCCAGAAGGGGACCCCGGGCTTCCTCCGGGCCGGGTATCCTCACTTCTTGTATCGTCTTTCATGAGGTCTTTTGAACCAATCTTAGTCTGGCCCCTTGCCTGAGACCAATTTGCCATGTCCAGCCCCCCCCCCCCCCCCATATATTAACGGATTTTGACCATTTTTTTTGCATTTTCCTCCTCTCCTCTCACTGATCAAATGGCAAACGCGACCCACTGGCGGAGGGCCTCCGCGCCGGCCCGACCTAGTGCCGGTGCTCTGGCAGTCGGTTCCTCCGAACTGCGGGTTCGACTCTGATGGCCGGGAGGATGTGCTGCGTTGGGGTGGGGGACTTCTCCCACTCTGCGTGTCTCTTCCTTCCCGGGCCGGCCGATATGAAGCGTGACCAAGACCCACCGTCTGACTCAGGGGTCCCGCAGCGGGGTGGAGGTTCCCAGCTGGAACCTCCCCACCTCCGCCGCGGTGCACCCGGCAAACACAGTTGTTTCTCGAACCTTCCACTGTTGTCTAGCGGGTGTAACTAAAATACAAGATGTCATATTTATATATATATATATAAATAAATATATCTATATAGATAATAAGTGTCAGTACGATTTTATTTTGTATTTGCGTGCATTTCCTGTTTGGAAAGTGGCACTGTACTGATAGTGGTGATTTTATTTTGGAATTCTTAGCGTGCACTTCCTGTCCTGAGAGTGGAGGTGTCCTGAGAGTGGAGGTCTGCACTGGAACTGTCCTGAGAGTGGAGGTCTGCAGGCAGACCCCTCTCAAGGAAAGGGGTAGGCTGCATTTACTACCCAAGACAAAACGAGAGCATAATGCGAAACAGAATGCAGCACAATCATCTTTTTATCTGGATTATCTTGTTTTGTCAGGAGCACTCATCGTGGGTCAGAAAAGTGCACAAACCTCTACTCTGTGGTTTAAGATGGAATGACTTGACTTTAGGGTGGCGTTTTATCACAGCAGAATTTGACTTTATCTCCGGTAGAATTCTGATCAGGCATTAGCTCCGCCTCCTCTTTTCTTTTTTTTCAAGCTAAGGACCCGCTGGAACAGCTGGAATAGAGGGATATGAGGGATGTCTAAAGTGCATTCATCTGTTTGTTTTTTTAGCAAAACACATCATAGACATGTTTTTATATATTTGTATATATCTGAGACCCATAATATATGCCTTTTGAATAGCCGGTAGGTGCACTTTACAAGCTGCTGAAACAGATATATAATGTGTTCCATTTATACAGTTTTTATTTTCTTAAAATACATGACACATTTCAATGAACCGTTTATTCTTGTAATTTTAATATGATTTCCTGTCATTTAAAATAATCCTTTAGGGATGGTCATGATCATCCTTTTGCAATCACCATTTGTTAATAAGATGAATACATGTTGTTCTTTTTCTCTTGTTTCTCTGTGATTAGGACAATTCTGGAGAACTGGATCTGCTGAGGAAGGAGCTGCCATCCACACAGGACCCCCTGTGGTGCTGGAGGAATCTAAACAGCATCAGGGACATCATCCTCCCAAACCTCCGCTTCCTGCCGTCCAGCTGAACAGCAGCTCATGAAGCTTCAGAGAAACAGTGTGTTCAACAGAGACTGAAGCTTCAGAGAGAAACAGTGTGTTCAACAGAGACTGAAGCTTCAGAGAGAAACAGTGTGTTCAACAGAGACTGAAGCTTCAGAGAAACAGTGTGTTCAACAGAGACTGAAGCTTCAGAGAGAAACAGTGTGTTCAACAGAGACTGAAGCTTCAGAGAGAAACAGTGTGTTCAACAGAGACTGAAGCTTCAGAGAGAAACAGTGTGTTCAACAGAGACTGAAGCTTCAGAGAGAAACAGTGTGTTCAACAGAGACTGAAGCTTCAGAGAGAAACAGTGTGTTCAACAGAGGACTGAAGCTTCAGAGAGAAACAGTGTGTTCAACAGAGACTGAAGCTTCAGAAGAGAAACAGTGTGTTCAACAGAGACTGAAGCTTCAGAGAAACAGTGTGTTCAACAGAGACTGAAGCTTAGAGAGAAACAGTGTGTTCAACAGAGACTGAAAGCTTCAGAGAAAACAGTGTGTTTAACAGAGACTGAAGCTTCAGAGAGAAAACAGTGTGTTCAACAGAGACTGAAGCTTCAGAGAAACAGTGTGTTTAACAGAGACTGAAGCTTCAGAGAGAAACAGTGTGTTCAACAGAGACTGAAGCTTCAGAGAGAAACAGTGTGTTCAACAGAGACTGAAGCTTCAGAGAAACAGTGTGTTCAACAGAGACTGAAGCTTCAGAGAAACAGTGTGTTCAACAGAGACTGAAGCTTCAGAGAAACAGGAAGTGGTGATTTAGTAAACATGAGTGTTGTGCTGCTCTCGTTGGTGAAGCAGCGACTCACTGCAGCTGCTGAAGACATCTTTGTTCTGTTTGAAAGAACGATATCAGAGTACGAGGAGGAACTGTCTCGTTCAAAACAGGAGAACGAGAGACACCGGAAACTACTGGACGCTGTTTTACAGCCTCAGCTTCAGATCCACAGAGCAGGTCTGTTCCCTCTTTACTAACTCTCTCTTTATTCACTCTCTCTTTTTGACCAAATGTTGTTAAAAACATTTCTGATGGTTTAACTTTGATAACTTCTGGTTCATATTTCCTCATATGGTATTTTCACACCTTTTGTCCGTTATTCTTACTAACAATGTACACAGTCTCATCTGACTGAAGATTGGCCCCATTTATTTGTGGTGTTGCAAACTCTGCGGTACAAGTGAAGCTCATGAAGTGAGGCGAATAGAAATCATCAGCTGATGGAGGGTAGATGTGGAAATAGGTTTATTTGAACAGCTGACTGTTTTTTTTGCCACACTTCATAGGCCTGACAATAACCAGACCTTCTCTGAGGTGCAGCGTCACAAACACATGATGGTCCTGATAGACTACAAAACTATTCAGTGTGCAGGTCTTTGTTTTCTCAATAAAAGTGTAGCGTCTTAGTGAATGTCCTGCGCTGGTCTTAAATTGGTTCCTTGATTCTTTGTAGATTATGAAAAAAGGGTCTTTGTACCTTGGAGTCCGTGCTGAGTCCACTTCTGTCTCTCATTCCCCCGTCTGGATCACATAGAGCAGGGGTCTCCAACCTTTCTCCATCTGAGAGCTACTTTGAAAAAATAAAAGTGGCCAAGAGCTACTTGCATCGCTTACATTTATTCACATCGCCCTCATCAGTTGAATTAAGCTACCTTTGTACTCGTGTGAAATTGCAATACCCAAAGCTTATCAAAAATCGACAATTCCTCACATATTATTATGGCCCACGTAGTAATAAGTACATCACTGAAAATGCACATAAATGTCCCAGAGAAAAAGACAATGTTTTCACTTCTTATTATGGCCCACATAGTAAACACATCACCTTAATCTCCACCGCACAAGCATCTTATGGCACACGTGTAAAATAAGTGCACTCACTCTTTTTTACAGTTAGTGAGAGGACTGGCGCTGCATGGAGCCCACCATAGAGGTGAATGCTGGACCCACTTAGGCTCACTCTAATAGTCATTTGAATGTTCATCACTCAGTCTGGTTCTGTATTTAGATTTCATGTCAGAAAAAGCTGCTAAAATAGTGAATGCACTTATTGCACTCTTGCTCTTCCTCTCCTGGGGGGGGGGGGTCCTCAGGAGAGCCAGGTTCATCATAGCGTCCGATGGTTTTTGCGACTGAACTTGAGGATACATTCAAAGTTCTTGAAATGTTACGGATCGACTGACCTTCACTTCTTAAAGTGATGATGGACGGTCGTTTCTCTTCACTGAGTTGAGTGGTTATTGCCATAATATGGATTACAACAGCAGTCAAATAGGGCTTTCCACTGTGCACTAACCCTACCTCTGCACAACACAACTGATGCTCTCAAACACATTAAAAGTCATTCCACAAATGGACTCTTGACGAGGCCCACGTGTTAATTGAAAACCATTCCAGGTGACGTCCTCATGAAGGTGACTGAGAGAAGCCCAGAGTGAGCAAAGCCGTCTTCAAGGCAAGGAGGCTACTTTGAAGAATCTAAAATAAAAATAATATTCTGGATTTTTTAACACTTTTTCGTTGGCTAGATAATTCCATATGTGTTCTTTCATAGTTTTGATGTCTTCAGTATTAATCTACAAAGTAGAACACATTTTAAATAAACAAAAACCATTGAATTAATAGGTGTGTCCAAACTTTTGACTGGTACTGTAACTTAAAGGGGTGAGTTATAAAAAAACTCACTCCCCAAACTATTGTCATAAAGGTGGAATCTAACTATATCCAGAATAGGTGTTTTTGGATCCAGGCTAGCAACATGTTTATTTCTGCTGTAAAGTTGGGCATTGACTTGGGGGTTTATGCACAATAGCCGCATTCACACCGCAGGACTTTCCCTGGTACTTTGGTTCTTTAGTTCCGTTAGTACCAATAATGTCGCGTTCACACCGCCGGGACTACTCAGTGCCGGGAACTCTTTTGGCCATTTTCAGTCCCTGCTAGAGAGGTGGTACGAACCTGGTGATAAAAGAGTGCCCATTTATATTCTATTTCTATTGGCTGGGCGAATTGCAAACCACGCCCGCTAGACTCTGAATTTTTTTTGTTAGGCAGCCATTTTTTTCCTCGCTACAAAACCACATCCACACCTGAGTGAGTAGTTTCTTTGTACTTTAAAGCAGTTATGACCACACGTACTACAACACCGGAGCGGTGGAATGATGAGGAAGTGTCGGCGCTTCTGGCAATTTACTCTGAGGACGGGATGCCGCAGCTTCTACAGAAAGCAGTTCCCAACTCCAAATGTTTTGAGCGATGTTCGCAAAAGCTACTTGAGCTGGGAATCGTGCACACGGATGCCGGGTAAAAATAAAGAAACTCAGGCAGGACTATAACAAAATTAAAGACAACAATAATAAGAGTGGTAACGATTTTCTATTGTTATTATTTATATTTATATATATATATATATATATATATATATATATATTGCCACTGTGTTTTAATACTGACACCTAACTTGCACTAAGATGTGTCTGCTGCTATATATATTGCCACTGTTACATTGTTTTGAAACTACTTACACTTTATTTTACATTTCACACTTTTATTTAACTTCCATGTACATGCATACGACACACCTGGAACAGCGTGATGCCTTATTGTTATGTCTTGACTGTGCAATAAAACAAACAAACTGGCGAAGCTTTATTTATTGTGTCCCACCCCAAATTTGCAGAATAGAAGAATGTGAGAGCAGACAGGTGTCGGTGGTTGAATTTATCTACAGTGTTGCAACCTTGTGCAGCAATGGCAGAAACACAAGTCTTACACACATAAACACAAGTCATTTATCATGTCATTTGTTTTAGATAAATAAGGGAAAAACACCAAACAAGGGTTAATGTCCTTTTCCAAAATCAGCCTGAGGGGTTAATATATAATAAATACATAAAGATAAAGTCCATTGTTATAATGGGGTATTTTATTTGTAAATTACCCTTATGAACTCCATCATGTCTGAGGTCGGAAAGTAAACAAACGCCTCATACAGCGGGTGGGCTTTATACCCCCTCCCCCGTGTAGTTCTTCTTCTCTCGTTTTTCTTTGTGTACCTGCCGTGAAGTGGTTTTGCGGCCTGCCAGTAAACCCAGAGAAGAAGAAGACGAAGTGACGTCAGCGTAATCTTGCCTCAGGGAAAGTACTGCGGTGTGAATGCGATTGGCACTAGCCCCCTGGCGGATTCAGTGCCGTGGTACTTTAGTGCCGGCACTAAAGTACGGCAAGTCCTGCGGTGTGAAAGCGGCTATTGCTCCTTTTTGCATACATCCCCTATTGGGCAAGAGATGAACTGCAGTTTGTGGCACTTGCTTTGGGCTTCACGGCTCTGCCCCGGAGTTCACCGCTTGGTTTGCAAATTAACATTAACATTAGAAGTAAAGTCAGTCAAAATTGGACGTGCACGAATCAGAATCTAATCAATACACCATTTTCCCAGCTCTGTAATGAAAAGGATAACAAGATTACATGGCAGGAGTGTTAAAACACCAAAACATGCACACTTATCTCATTCTAGTAGAGATTAGAGGACAAGGTCTAATGTTGTGAACAAAAGTATCAAGTCAAAGTTATTTTATTTATTGTATCTTATGTACCATATTTAATTTAATAATTAATCTTGAATTACTAATAACTTTAAAGAAGGCAACAATTGTGTGTGTGTGTGTGTGTGTGTGTGTGTGTGTGTGTGTGTGTGTGTGTGTGTGTGTGTGTGTGTGTGTGTGTGTGTGTGTGTGTGGTGTGTGTGTGTGTGTGTGTGTGTGTGTGTGTGTGTGTGTGTGTGTGTGTGTGTGTGTGTGTGTGTGTGTGTGTGTGTGTGTGTGTGTGTGTGTGTGTGTGTGTGTGTGTGTGTGTGTGTGTGTGTGTGGTCAAGGTCAAAACATTTGGGACTGCAGTGAGAATGTTATGAGAAACAATTTGTTGCTTAGACTGAACTCGAAGGAAGCTAGACTGGAACATTTTAAATAAATCAAAAACACTTGTACATTAATTTAATACATTTGACATTTAGCTTGAGCTGGGTTCAATACTTTCTTTATGGTATTTAAATTGGGCTCGAGTAGAACCCCTACATGGCTTTGGCTTGCAACGCAAAGTGATACTGATCTCTGTCTGTCATGATTTGAAAGCCTCATGATTTATTGTGTGGGCCTGTGAAGGAGAGGCCCTTGGAAAACATCTATTTTTTTTTAACTGCAATTACTGATCTTAAAGAGATTGCAACATTATACTTCTTTATAAGAAGAATGGATAATGGAATTATGTCTTCTATATGTTTCTACCATTTCCTTCAAAGCATAGATGCATAGCTCAGTACCATGCTTAGCCTTGAAGCCAAACTGGTTATCTGAGGTACATAAATAAGAACATAATCTATCTAACAAAATTATTTCCAGGACTTTGGATAACACACTGGCTAGAGCAATTGGTCTAGTTATCCAAGCTCCCTACCTTGCCCGCTTTGTCCTTAATGACAGCCACCAAGGCAGGGGCGGATCTACGGGGGGCAGCTGCCCCTCCACTGTAGAGCCTTGCCCCCCCAGCTGCCCCCCTAATCTTTGTTTCCCTAAAACTGTACTAAAACAAACCTACACTATTTCCACAAGCTTCTCAAGCAACAAAACAAACATTACATTAGTTAAAAGTGAATCATTTTAAATATCATTTTAGGCCCGTTAAAAACGCAGCTACGGCCCTGCATTAAACTGCGGAGCGGCGTTCACACAGACCGCGGCTCACACCGCTGCAGAGAGGGAGCAAGCTGTCCCAGCACCTATGGATCAGCTTCCCCTGGGAGCATTTCCCTTTCCACTAGTTTTGTTTTACTAAGGACGAGAGCTTGAAACTAAATATTAATAAAACGCTGCCGTTTTAATCGATAGCGTTTAACAGACGGGCGCTGTTTCGGGCGTTACGTTACAAAATACTATGCGGACAGCGTTAGCTGGGAGATCGAT